AAAAACAAGAAAACTCATGACCATTCATAATTAATTACATCCTCGCAGTGATGTTGACCGGCTCTATCTGCCTAGAAAGTCTGGTGGCAGAGGACTTTTCCAATCAAACAAGCAGTTGAAGAAGAAAAACATGCCCTGGCAGAATATGTCAAGGAAAGCCAAGAACCTGCTTTAATTAAAGTCAATAATTGGAAACTTCTCAAAGCACAGCAAAGAGTCAGTACAAGAAAACTGCACTCCAAACCAAAGCTGATAGCTGGCACAACAAAGCCTTACATGGGCAGTTCCTTGAGAAGATTGAAGGAAAAGTTGACAAGGAGAAGACCTGGTTGTGACTCATGAATGGAACCCTGAAGAAGAAGACAAAAGGCCTGATTCTTGCAGCCCAGGAGCAAGCCATCAGAACCAATGCAATTAAGGCCAGGATCGAAAAATCAGCTGATGACCCAAAATGCAGACTGTGCAAGGAAGCTGATGAAACCATGGATCATATCCTCAACTATTGCAAGAAAATCGCACAGACGGACTACAAACAAAGACACAACTCTGTGGCCCAGATGATTCACTGGAGCTTATGTCACAAGTACCACCTGCCAGCAGTAAAGAACTGGTGAGATCATAAACCCTCAAAGGTCGTGGAAAATGAACATGCAAAAATACTGTGGGACTTTCGAATCCAGACTGACAAAGTTTCAGAACACAATACACCAGACATCACGATTGTGGAAAAGAAAAAAGTCTGGATTATTGATGTCGCCATACCAGGTGACAGTTGCATTGAGGAAAAACATCACACAGTCCTAGACGCTTGGGAAGTGTTCGACTTGTGATTTTGTGATATGAAATCCAGCATATAGATCTCGTTTGCTGTGACATACTGTGCTTTTGTGTCAATAATAATAATAATAATAATAATAATAATAATAATAATAACTTTATATTCCGCTCTATCTCCTTTGAAGGGACTCAGGGCGGATTCCAAACATAAAAGGCAAACATTCAATGCCCGAATACAACAATACATCCATATTAACAAAATTTAAACAATCCAACATATAAACATGAATTATAATTTAACAAACTAAAATTAAATAAAAAACACAGCCTGTTATAACAGACATAAGACAAAACATCAAACATAGAAGAAACTGTGATAAAACCACTGTTGAAAAAGCCATCACTGGACCCCACTGATTTGAACAACTTTCAGCCAGTTTCCAATCTGCCCTTTCTGGACAAAGTCTTAGAACGTGTGGTTCCCTTGCAGCTCCATGGGCTCTTGGATGAAACTGACAATCTGGATCCGTCACAGTCTGGTTTCAGGTCAGGTCACAGAACTGAGACAGTTATGGCCGCCTTAGTGGATGATCTCCTCAGAGAGCTTGACAGGGGGAGTGTGTCCCTGTTGGTTCTCCTGGACCACTCAGCGGCCTTCAATACCATTGACAAACGGTATCCTTCTGGGTCGCCTTGCAGGGATGGGTCTTGGAGGTACTGTTCAGCAGTGGCTCCAGTCCTTCCTAGAGGGTTGTACCCAGAAGGTGTTGCTGAGGGATTCCAGCTAGGCCCCACAGCCATTGTCCTTTAGTGTCCTGCAGGGCTTGGTATTGTCCCCCCATGTTGTTTAACATCAACATGAAGCTGTTGGGCAAAATCATCTGGTGTTTTGGAGTCAGGTGCCATCTGTACACAGATGACGTCCAACTCTATTATTCCTTTCCACCAGATGCTAAGGAGGCTGCCCAGATCTTGACTCGGTGCCTGGCCGCTATTACGGTCTGGATGACGGTGAGCAAATTGAAGTTGAATCCAGACAAGACAGAGGCCCTCCTGGTCAGTTGCAAGGCCGAACAGGGTATAGTGTTACAGCCTGTGCTGGATAGGGTTACACTTCCCATGAAGGCGCAGGTTTGCAGCTTGGGAATCCTCCTGGACTCATAGCTGAACCTGGAATCCCAGGTTGCGGGGGTGGTCAGGGGAGTTTGTGCATAATTAAAACTTGTGTGCCACAGTTACGCCCGTATCTTGGGAAGTCAGACTTGGCCACGGTGGTCCATATTCTCGTTACATCTAGGATAGATTACTGCAACAAGCTCTACATGGGGTTGTCTTTGAAGACTGTTTGGAAGCTTCAAATAGTCCAACGAGAGGCAGCCAGGTTAATAACTGGAGCGGCATACAGGGAGCATACAACTCCCATATTACATCAGCTTGAGTGGTTGCCAGTTTACTACCAAGCACAATTCAAAGTGCTGGTTTTGGCCTATAAAGCCCTAAACAGCCCAAATTACCTGTCCGAATGCATCTCCCTTTATGAACCATCCCGGAGATTAAGATCCTCCAGGGAGGCCCTGCTATCTGTCCCGCCACTGTCACAGGCTCAGTTGGCGGGGACAAGAGAGAAAGCCTTCTCAGTGATTGCCCCTCAGCTTTTTAACTCCCCGCCTGATGAGATTAGATCAGCTTCCTCTCTCCTGATCTTCACAAGGATGGTAAAAACTTGGCTGTGGGACCAAGCTTTTGGGACAGAGCAATAAGGCAGCAATAGGAAACCTTACCATGCCAAGTAGATGCGGATAATTGAGACAGTTTTAAACAGTGGATTTTAATGTCGAGATAAATGATTTTAATGTTTATGTATGTGTATAATCTATTTATATCCCAGCATTGAATGTTTGCCGTTTATAAGTTGCGCTCCACCCTGAGTCCCCTTCAGGGTGAGAAGGATGGAATGCAAAGGTTTTAAATAAATAGGAAGCTTTTAAGCAGATTTTTTTTACAATTAACTCTGCTTACAATTATCAAGAAGTGCAGGGAGAGGAAATAACATACCATAAATGTAGAAAATAAAAACACCTTTAATATGCAACATTTTGAAATAGAATCCATGAGATATGGCAATATTTTTAAATGCAGTTTGTTCAAAACAAAAAAAAAACCTCATATACTACACCACCCAATAAATGTCTGTGTTTGTGTATCTGTTGCAGAAAAGTCAAGCAGATCATTAAAATGTGAACTTTTTTTCCATGTCAGGAGTGACTTGAAAAACTGCAAGTTGCTTCTGTTGTAAGAACTGCGTATGTTGAGAATACAGCAGGAGCAAGTTGCAGTTGCTTCTGTTTTCAGATTAGCCCAATGTCAGATTAACATCCAAACAGAATATTTACCCCAATAAATGCAAACGTTTGGTTTTGGTGTTTTGGGGAAAAAATTGATCATGTAAGATTTATATATTTGACTTTACTTAAAAGTATTTATAACCTGACCTTCAGCTGAATAGGCTTCCAAAGCACTTTACAAATAATTAATTTGAAAGTTCCCTTCCCTCAGATTTACAGCCTAAATAAGGCACAAACATATAAGGAAGAGATGTTATGGAAGCGGGAGATTAGGTCCAGCAGATGCTGGCTGTTCTTCCCTGCCTCAGAAGCCAGTTCAATAGCAGTTGAAATGTGGAGGAAAAGCTTTGCATAACTGGAAAATACTGACTTACATATTTATCACTCTGTGGATAAAGAGGTTTGACCTTGGTATCCATCAGTGGTTGGATAACAAAGTCCAGGTATGCTCAGGCCCTTTAATATACAACAGTAAAATGATTATCTTAAATATAATGGCAATATATATTTAATGGTTTGGAAATTTTAAAAAAAATCAAGCTGTGCAGAATTAGTGGATCCAACCGTATACAACCTAGCAGCTGTGCTGCAACAGACGACAAATGAACTAATAGCTTCCCTAAAGACTTTTGTTTTTTTAAAATGTTAAATAGTAAAATTTGGCAAGGAGAATCAGAGACCAACTACAGATATACTAAGGGCCATGCTTGAATCATGTAGTAAAGGCAATGCTTATTTTGACTTCTCACCCTTAGTCATTAAAACATGTCAGAGGAACTAAAGAGCTGCACTTCGGGTTCTGTGAGGTATTTTAAAAGTGAGCCATTCCACCCAAATCCTCTAGTGAATTAAAATGGCCATGTTACATGTCCCAGTTCTTGATCATGTCTGTGAGTGCTTTGGACTTTTTCCAGAATATTTGGCAGTACAGGAACAATGTGGAAATGCTATTACAATTAACTTTACTACAATTCCTTTCTGAGTCAGGCATTTTATTATTCGTTGTTAGTGTAACCAACTTCCCTTTCAATGAATTGTTTTCTCCCTAAAAGGTAGGGAGATAGAAACTAAGGAAAATATAATTTCATTTATGATATACTCTTGAGATACAGCTTCTATGTGGATTGAAAAATACAGGAACACTCAGAAGTACATACCCATCTTCTCTTGTCACATTTCACTGAGGATCAAAACAGATTTTATTTTTCATGTGATAGGTGAACAATATTCTGATATCGACTCTCTCTAAGATAAATTCCCAGGTCTATATAGGATAAAGTCTCCACCTTTCTGGTTCCCTTTCTCTTATCACCAGCCAAAGTATCTTTTTCCATACCTCACCCACTCTTATGCACTTTTGGTTGAATCTTAGCATGCTTGGTTTTTTCCTTCTCAGAAGCACATTCATCATCCATAAACCCTGGTGATCATTCTCTTCATCCTATACCTGCCTATAACTTTTTTCCTTTTTGAATAGTTAGGGAGCCCTATGAAGAGAAGGAGCAGTTGTATCTATGTGGTGTTTCCTCTGCGTTTCCCTCCTTGCTGGTTAAGAAAATCCGGCACATCCTGACTGAATGCGGTCCATGTATAAATCTAGAAATTGTACTTAAAAACCAACCCCCAAAAGAGCAATTACATTTAAGTTCATAATGATGTAACTACACTGTAGGTATGCTGTAGCTTTAGAGTGAAAATGTAGAATTGGCAATATTCCAATATTTTGTATACAGCACCTTTCTAGGATCCCTTTGTGTGTTGATAGTTTCTCAGTATTCCCTCTTTGCAATTTTTGGCATCATCTTTGTTGGAACCCCAAATTGATTGAATTCACTGTCAAGAAAGAATGAATCTGAAGTATTTTTTATCTTATCACAGGACACCCACAATGGCAGGAGGCCTTTTTTCTATAGACCGAGACTATTTTCAAAAAATTGGGACATATGATGCTGGCATGGATATATGGGGAGGAGAAAACCTTGAAATTTCATTCAGGGTAAGGCAGCTTTCTTTTAATTTATTTATTAAGGTATAATATACTGATCCCCCTCATGGCGCAGCAGGTGAAACCCCTTAGCTGCTGAACTTGCTGACCGGAAGGTTAGCGGTTCAAATCCGAGGAGTGGGGTGGGCTCCTGTTGTCAGACCCAGCTTCCTAGCAGTTCAAAAACATGTAAACATGAATAGATAATAGGTCCTGCTTCTGTGGGAAGGTAACAGCGCTCTGTGCAGTCATGCTGGCCACATTACCTTGGAGGTGTCTACAGACAACGGTGGCTCTTCGGCTTAGAATGAAATGAGCACCACCATCCCCAGAATCGGACATGACTAGACTTAATGTCAGGGGAAACCTTTTCCTTTTTAATATACTGTAGACCAAAATTATTTAGCTGTAGTACAGATATTGTATTGGGCAGTATTGACATCATACCAGAGGACAAATGAAAATGTATATAAACAATTCGTGGGGTCACTCAATGATTCACTGTTCCTTAAAAGAAGTGCTCTTTAAAATCAATCCAGGTCACAGACTGCACATCCAAATATAAAGCTTTAAAGTTTAATATGTGTGTCAGATTAAAATTAAGCAAACTCATCATGCTGCTTCATTGACACCTTTGTTGATCTAATGACCTCAACTTGCACAGGTTATATATTACAAATTGTACCCCTTTGTACTTAACCCCAGTTATTTTTCAAATTATACAGGTCAATAGTCTCTCGTGCAGCGTGCTCACCTCAGGGTAAAGAGGCAAAATATATGAAGTACTTCTGGTGAAGCTTTAATTTGCTGATTCATACTGAACAATCTTCAATTTTTCTTTTAATGGTGGCTTCTTGATGATTTCAGATTTGGCAGTGTGGTGGAACTTTGGAAATTGTGACTTGTTCACATGTTGGACATGTTTTTCGAAAAGCCACTCCTTATACTTTCCCAGGAGGCACAGGACAGATTATAAATAAAAATAATAGACGACTTGCTGAGGTTTGGATGGATGAGTTCAAGAATTTCTTCTACATAATTTCCCCAGGTGAGCAAAGTTACTCAGATGATTTCTAAAATTGATATAGTGAGCATACGTAGCTGATATGCATAGCCCATTGGATTAGTCCATCAGTTCTTCTAGCAGCAGGTATCAAACAACATTTTCTCCAACTTTTCTGTATGGGGTCGTATTAAACTGAGATACCATTAATTTGATCTGAGGGCCTTCTGCGTGCAACTAGTTTTTATTTCTAAGTTGTAATCCTTTATATCCCCCCTCCCCATTATGGATGGGTGTTTGGATTGGCAGTTAAAACATGTACATTAGAAGGACAAACTTGTATATGTGGGTTTTTTTAATGTTAGGGATTTCCTTTTTAAAAAAAATCATAGCCAGTAATTGAGAGTGGGTCACTGATTTGTTATTTGAAATAGAATAGTCTGGCTGAAAGTATTTGTTGTGACTCAGGCCCCAAAGATTGCCAAACACAGCAGATTAAGGGTTAACAAAAGTCTTTAATGAGTCTTTAACAAACTAGCAGCACTTCACCAGCAATGCTACTTAGCAAAACAAAAGGACCTTCCTGCAGGTAAACAATAACAGAGATAAACCGGATTATCCCAGGACTCAGTCTCAAGAAAAAGGAAAGCTGGAGCAAAAACAAACAGTGGCAAAAGCGGAGTCAAAACAGTCCTTTGGTCGAGCACGGAGACAGGCAACAACAAAGTCCGGCAGGCAGATGACGTGGTCCAGAGACATTCCAAAAATCAGGGGCAAGGCAAAGTCACTTACGTAGTCCAATCCGAAGTCAAGGTACATGAAGACAAGATAGCTGGATTCCCAGGACCCAAATGGAGGTTAGGCAGAACAAGACACCCGATTCAACGCTTTGTCCTCTGCAAAGCTAAACATCCCAGAACCCCCATTTTATTAGCAATCGCTATCGCTAGATTGATCCTCATCACTAGCATCTGGGTCATTTCCTTCAGCTGCTGGCTCGTTACTCCGCCATTTCTGCCAGTGTTGATCCAAACCCGGATCCTGCCAAGATGTACCTGCCTGCCATGTATCTTGGAATCCCTCAAACTCGTCACTGGACGTGGGCTGTGTACATATGTCCTGAATTTCCCTAACCCGAGTCCAGTCCAATTCCTCCTCCATTTCCTCATTACTGGCTTCCAGTTCATCTGGACTGGAATTGTCAGCTGTATCTTTAAGCCGTTTACTCATAGTTTCTTCATCACTATCAGACTCACTGGCAACCCGCTTTACTCCCCGGTAATCCCATTCCTCCAAATCCTCGGGTCCAAACCCTGCAAAATCTTCCGTGTCGCTAGGTGCCAAAATAATATCTCGAATACGCTTCAGCTGACGCTGATCCAGCTCTGACTCAGCATCACTCCTCCTTCTCCTACAACCGGTAGTAGTTTCACTGCCAAGACGCTGAGCCTCAACAGTATTATTCTGTTTTTCAAAACAGTATTTGTCACGATTAGAGTTTAGACATCTCAGGAATTGGAAGCTATTGAGATACAATTTAGTTTTGGGAAAAGGCCAGTTCTCATTATTTCCACTTTGACACATTTATATGGCTCATCCCCAGGGAAACGCAAAACAATATACCACTATTTTAATGGCAATTCTATCTTTTACATCTTAGACATTTTGTATGGTTCTATACATTGCTGGACCTATTGCTCAGAAATCTACTGATGCTGACTTCTCTTATGAAATTTAAGAGTATCATTTAATTAGAATCATCTTTGATGTCAATTGTGTAGTCTCTTATTGCAAGCTTTCAGATGGCAGCAAGCCAGTCAAGATTATGTTTACCAAATAGGCTGGTTTCATAGTAAACATCATCATGCTGAGTGCCCATAGACAGTACCTAAAATGCCATGTGAGAGAAGAAACAAAGAGTATATCTATGTACAAATCATTGATTTTATCTAAAATGGGTGTGGATGGGTTTCCTCTTTCATGTACCATTTTAAATTACTGTATACGGCATATACACCCAGCATATACAACGGCTGAAATTATTATTGAGAAGATTTGTGCTAATATAGGCCATCAACCTAAAGTCCTCCTAAGATACCAGTGATGTGGTGTAGGTCATTTAAAAAACACAATCCGTAAAGCCTAACACAAACTAATTGCCTGAAGAATGTGCATTCAATACAAGCAAGTACCCCTCACATTTTGATTTTTTATTATATTTTCTCTCTAAGAATCTCTCATGTACCGTTAAAGGTAGATTGCAAGGCTTTTCTTTTTGCAACATTTTGAATTTAATCCTTTTTCACATGTGAATAAAACCTAGGTCCACTTTATTTTCAGAAAAACATGGCATGAAGGAAATAAGTTATTTCAGAATGATTCTGATAATGTATGCTGATGTTTTTTGGGAATAGTAAATAGGCTAAGACAGTATTACTCTGAATATCCCTATCCTTGCCAGGTACTCAGAAAATGAGTCTTAATAGTAATCTCATAAAATATTTGAATCTTAACAGTAAAAACCAAACATAGAGAGCAGGTTTTCTGAAACTAGATGTTCTCAATGAGCTGGGTGTCTGAACAAGACAATTATGTTAATGTACAGTTACATGTCTTTTATTGTGTTCAAACTTGTTCATGATTTATCTTAGCAGTTAGATTTGAAACGATCACCAAAACAGTAGAATCATAGAATCAAAGAGTTGGAAGAGACCTCATGGGCCATCCAGTCCAACCCCCTGCCAAGAAGCAGGAATTATTTGAAATACCTATTTCTTTCATTCATCCCTGGTACTTATGAAGAGTAAAGTAGTTGAGTGGTTCTACTATTTTGAATGGGATGTCTACAATGTTAACTGGTTTTGTACTTCGTTTATTTTATTTATTTATTTATTTACGACATTTATATACTGCCCTTCTCACCCCGAAGGGGACTCAGAGCAGCTTACAAGTAAAAAGTAAATACAATATATTACCATAGCATAATATTAATATTATATATTACATTGTACTATAACATTATACTGTAATATTATTAGTAATATTACATTTAATATAAAATATATAACTATAATATCATATTATTATTAGTAGTAGTATTATATTTTATTACGTTATAATAATATCTATATTATATTATATTATATTATATTATATTATATTATATTATATTAAGCAGGAGACAAGATGGAACTGCCTTCCTGGTCCTCTTTTCACTCTGATCTCAGAGCAGCAGTTGGTGCTGGAGGCTCCCAACTGATGACACTAGAGGCAAGATGGCCCCTCTCTTCATACTTCATACAGTTTATACCAAGGGTCCTCAAACTTTTTAAACAGGGGGCCAGTTCACTGTCCCTCAGACCATTGGAGGGCCGGACTATAGTTAAAGTAATACATGTAATAACAATAGAGAAAAATAATACACATTAACAACCTCAGATATGCAGATGACACCACTCTGATGGCCGAAAGCGAGGAGGAGCTGAGGAGCCTTCTAATCAAGGTGAAAGAAGAAAGCGCAAAAGCCGGGTTGCAGCTAAACGTCAAAAAACCCAAGATTATGGCAACAAGAATTATTGACAACTGGAAAATAGAGGGAGAAACCGCGGAGGCCGTGACAGACTTTGTATTTCTAGGTGCAAAGATTACTGCAGATGCAGATTGTAGCCAGGAAATCAGAAGACGCTTACTTCTTGGGAGGAGAGCAATGTCCAGTCTCGATAAAATAGTGAAGAGTAGAGACATCAGACTGGCAACAAAGATCCGCCTAGTCAAAGCCATGGTATTCCCTGTAGTCACCTACGGATGTGAGAGCTGGACCTTAGGGAAGGCTGAGCGAAGGAAGATCGATGCTTTTGAACTGTGGTGTTGGAGGAAAGTGCTGAGAGTGCCTTGGACTGCGAGAAGATCCAACCAGTCCATCCTCCAGGAAATAAAGCCCGACTGCTCACTGGAGGGAAAGATACTAGAGACAAAGTTGAAGTACTTTGGCCACATCATGAGGAGACAGGAAAGCCTAGAGAAGACAATTATGCTGGGGAAAGTGGAAGGCAAAAGGAAGAGGGGCCGACCAAGGGCAAGATGGATGGATGGCATCCTTGAAGTGACTGGACTGACCTTGAGGGAGCTGGGGATGGTAACGGCCGACAGGGAGCTCTGGCGTAGGCTGGTCCATGAGGTCACGAAGAGTCGGAGACGACTGAACGAATGAACAACAATAATATTAATAAATGTAATAACAACAGTAGAGTAAAATAATAAATGTAATAATAATAGAGAAAAATAATACAAATAATAATAATAATAAATAGAATAAAATAATGTAATAATAATAACAAAACCAATAATAATCCAGTAATCATAGTTTATTTTAACTACAGTATATATTTTGGGGGATGCTGTGTGCATATGAATGAGAAAAGTGGGAAAGACTGACTTGGGAAGTGGGTGGGAAAGAAAGAATGGGAAGGGGTGTTAGAAAAAGTGGGAAAATGAGGTGGAAAGGGGATAGCTGGAAAAGTAGGACAGACTGGAGTGGGAAGGGGGCAACAAGGAGGAAAGATTGAGGTGGAAAAGGCGGTCTGGAAACTGGGAAAGGTTGGGATGGAAAGCGGGGGCTGGAAACTGGGAAACTGCAGTGGGAAAGGGGGCAAGACTGAAATGGGAAAGAGAGGATGGTACCTGGGAAAGGCTGGGATGGAAAGTGGAGAGAGAGGGACTGGGGAATGGGGGTAGTAAAGACTGGGATAGGAATGGGGAAACTAGAAAAAGGTAAGACTGGGGTGGGAAAGGGGTGCTAGAAAAGTGGAGGGGGGAACTGAGGTGGGAAGGGAGGAAGGTGTTGTCTGACTCGGCGAAGGAGAGAAAAGCCTGGGGTCGCCTCCTCCTCCTCTCCCCCATCCCCAGAAGGGAGACCTGGAAAGCAGGGAGGAGAATGGATTGTGGGAGGTGGCTCTCCTCCTCACTTCCATTCCCCTCCCCACTTTCCAGGTCTCCTTTCTAGGGGGAGGGAGGGAGAGAAGAGGCGACCCCAAGTAGCTGGTGGATCGCGGGAGGGAAATATAAGCACTGAGGAGATTCCTCCTCCTGCGATTCACCAGCTGCCTGCCTAACTGGATGGCCAACTGTAGAAGGAGAAGGAGGAAGAGAAGAAACGGCAGTAGCACCCTTCTTCCTCCTCTTCTTCCTTCTCGATAGCCAATTGGAGGAGGAGGAGGAGGAAGAGGAGAAGGGGTGCTGCAGCTGTTGGAGGAGGAGGAGAAAGGCAGCAACAGCCCTTCTCCTCTTCTTCTTCCTCCTCCTGCCTCCAACTGGCCATCGAAGAGGAAGAGGAGGAAGAAGAGAAGAAACGGCAGCAGTGTCCCTTCTCTTCTTCCTCCTCCTCCTCGATGGCCAGCTGGAGCAGGAGGAGGAAGAAGAAGAAGAGGAGAAGGGGCGCTGCTGCCTGGGCATCCTCGGAAGGCGAGTGCTCCAGCTCCCAGAGCAGGCGCTGCTGCTGGACCGGCCCTGTGTGAGCTGCCTCCCGGAAGCCAAAGCCAGGAGGGCCGAGTGGAGAAGGGGAGCCCAGCTCTGCTTTTTCCTCCTCTCCAGCTTCCTGCTCCTCCTCCTTCAGACACCGGTGCCCACCTCTCCCCTGGGCCTGACGGCACCTATTTATCCAGCTCTTTCTTGCTGCTCTTGGGAGGGGCAGCCCTTAAGGGCATGGAGGCCCAGCGCATCCGGCGGGCCGAATAATTGCCCCCGCGGGCCAGACCTGGCCCGCGGGCTGTCGTTTGAGGACCTCTGGTTTATACTGTCTTTCTGCCAACACTAGTGGTATACTGTGGGCCTTCCATATCTGCTCACTCAGGGTAAGCAGATTCAAATGTACACAATATTGAACATTCACATGTTCAGCATCCACAGTGGGGAGCAATGGGGTTTCTTCTAAAGGAAGAAGTATGCCCGTGCCCCACACAATTTTTAAATGAATATTTTTGCAGTGGATGTACAAGCCTCATGAGTTACATTCACTTACATAAGGCATAGCGGACACATTTTTTCTCTAAGCTGATACAGAGCAGTGTGGAAGCCCTGATTGCCCACTCTATCTGCTGACTCTGTGAAGGTTCTTTGTGCATGTGTTGTTCAGAAACAGCCACCCAACCAGTTAGCAAGTTGGGCACTCCCTGAGTTTTGGGTTCCAGAAAAGAGAACTTACAAATAGCATTTGAACAAGCTGTAGTTGGCAGCAATAGCACACTGATCTCCATCCCGCTCTTGGCCTTGCTCTGCAGGGAGAGCACACCCAACTCACCTACCCACTGACAACTAGCAGTAGCAGCACAGTTTTTGTGCAAACTGATAAGTGAGTGAGCAATAGCAACATATGAACAGCCTCCAAATCTTGCCCCTGTATGTTTTGTGACCGCAGAAGTAGAAAAAATGCCTTACTGACACTTGGCTGGAAATGAAGAGACATATGAGTCAGATGTCTGGGAAATATACAGTGATAGAGGTGTACTCTCTCCTCTTCTCCAGTGAATTGGCCTTGAGGCATTTCTCCCATGGCTACCACAAAGCATACTTGTATGCCACCTGACTTGAGGACTGTTTATGTAGACAGCACTTTCCAGACATTTCATGTTGGTGACACACTTTGTAGACATACATCATTTTGCGTCACAATAATTCAATTTTACTAGCAAACCACAGGTTAAACTAACCCCCTATAAAAGATATAGACACATATATCAGTTGTAATAACCAAAGATACAAAATACCTCATGAAAACCTTTGATATATACACACACGCACTTATGTATAAATATCTGATTTGTAAGATAATAACATACATTTCCAATATTTTTGTCATTTCTTGTTATATTCACATGACACACCTACACACTGCAGTCATCACACTTAAGATGTTGCTGAAAAGCTCTGATATAGACTCACATTAGCAAGGTCATTCACTAGCTCTACACATGAGAAATTTGATCATATCAGATAGAAATATTCTTAAACAACCCATGTCTCTTTTAAGACTGGATAGTAACTCAGTGAAAACTACAGTGCATATTAACTTTGCTTTTTAACCTGCTTTTTGAGGCATGTATAAAGGTAACTCTTCTATTTCTGTACAAAGATTTATCTCCCATTTTATTAAGGTTTGTAACTAATGGTCCTATTCACTTTTCTACAGGCGTTACAAAAGTAGATTATGGAGACATATCCTCACGACTTGGTCTGAGACACAAACTACAGTGCAAACCTTTTTCCTGGTACCTAGAGAATGTTTATCCTGATTCGCAAATACCACGTCACTATTTCTCTTTAGGAGAGGTAAGGATTTAATGCTTCACATTTCTGAGAATTTAATGTATCTTCAGGTAACATACAAGTATATGTTTGTTTTTTTACAAAATGCATTAAGTAAGGCAGGTTTAATTCAGTTGTCTCTAATGCTGGTATTTAAAAATATACAGTTTATTTATATCAGTTCTAATTAAATATTCCAAATAGCTACAAATGAGTTTTACTTATGTTGATGTGTAGGTAATTTATTTGCCTTGTTTAAATTTTCAAGCTTATTTGAATGCCCCATTTCCATGTTTCTTTCTCTCTAGTTTTACATTAATTCCTTGCTCCTATGTTGCTGCTATACTCTGTAAGACAAATAAAGGAGGATCATTGAAAGAGCATGCATCTTAGAATTGTTCCTGACCTGGACAGGATGACTACTTAAGCCCTTAGTGATGCTAAAGGGCTCCTTGCTTACAGTGTTTTGATTTATCCATCTGCATATATTAAATGCAGTATGCTGATTTCTAAATTGTTTATTTTTATTGTCTTCAGATAAGAAATGTGGAAACAAATCAATGTCTAGATAACATGGCAAGAAAAGAAAATGAAAAAGTTGGAATATTTAACTGCCATGGAATGGGTGGTAATCAGGTAAAAAGACAGATTCATTTAAACCTTTGTGTTAGACATTAGAATTATAGAAAGCCTCAGAGATTATTAAAACTCTTTTATAAATATAGTACTTTGGAAACATAGATACAAATCACCTGAAATATTGTGTTCACTGTGAATATTGTGCCCAGTTTTGCACACCACAATTCAAGAAGGATACTGATAAGTTGGAATGTATCCAGATAAGGGCAAAATAATCAAAGGTCTGAAAATCATGCTTTATGAGGAGCAGCTTAGGAATCTGGGTATGTTTAGATCTAAGAGATGTTTATTTATTTATCGTATCAGGAATGAACCAAGCAATTGTATTGTATTTTTAAAAAACAAGCAAACAAACAAACCTCAAAGTTTGAAAACTTGGCATTCTGTTAAATGTCCTTTGACCAGTAGCTGGCTACTTGGAGTGCCTCTGGTGTTGCTATAAGGAGGTCCTCCATTTTACATGTGGCAGGGCTCAGATTGCATTGTAACAGGTGGCCTGTGGTTTGCTCTTCTTCACACTTGCATATCTTGGACTCCACTTTGTAGCACCATTTCTTGAGGTTGGCTCTGCATCTCGTGCCAGAGTGCAGTCTGTTCAACGCCTTCCAAGTTGCCCAGTTTCTGTGTGCCCAGGGGGGAGTCTCTCATTTAGTATCAGCCATTGATTGAGGTTCGGGGTTTTAGCCTGCTACTTTTGGACTCCCGCTTGCTGAGGTGTTCCAGCGAGTCTCAGAGATCTTAGAAAACTATTTCTTGATTTAAGTCATTGGCATGCTGGCCGATATCCGAACAGGGGATGGGCCGGAGATGTCACTGCCTTGGTCCTTTCACTATTGGTTGCTACTTCCCGGCGGATGTCAGGTGGTGCAATACTGGCTAAACAGTGTAATTTCTCCAATGTTGTATGGTGCAGGCACTCCATGATAATGCGGCATGTCTCACTAAGAGATATACTGTTTTAGCATGGAGATGTGTTCCACACTGGGCATGCATACTCAGCAGCAGAGTAGCAAAGCGCATATGTGCTACAAATAAAGACCAAAAATTTGCTTTGAAACATACTGTTCAAAAGATCACAAATGATTTTCGAGCTCTAGGAACAAAGCTAAAGCAAGGTAATGTACAGGTGGTCTTTTCATCCCTCCTCCCAGTCATAAAACACGGTCCTACAAGGGCCAGAAAAATAGTACAGGTCAATGACTGGCTTAGAAAATGGTGTCAGGAGGAACGCTTTGGCTTCCTTGACCATGGCCTGCTTTTCCAGGAGGATGGCCTACTGGCAAGGGATGGGGTGCATCTCACACAAGTAGGAAAACACCTTTTTGCTCACAGACTCGCAAACCTCATTAGGCGCACTTTAAACTAGGCCCACCGGGGGAGGGGGACAACAGCCTTGCGAACACTACTTTACCCACAATGTCAGGGAACCGCCAGAAGGCTAAACGGAGGGCTGCACAAACACAAAAAGGACCAAGTACCGAAAGCACAATAATCCCAATTAAACAGCTCAGGGGAAGATCTCAGGGGCTCACATGTCTTTACACTAATGCACAGAGCATGGGAAATAAACATGACGAACTCCAACTTTTAGCACAACACCACAAATATGATATCATAGGCATCACTGAAACCTGGTGGGATGACTCCTATCGCTGGAATGTAGACATCGAGGGCTATAACCTCTTTCACAGAAACCGAACAAAGGGGAGAGGAGGCGGAGTAGCCTTATATGTCAAAAACTCTTATGCTGCAGAAGAAATGCATGACAGCAATCCAGGAAACCAGCTTGAAAGCATCTGGATAAGAATCAAGGGAACTGGGACTCAAAAAGATCTTGTTGTAGGAGTCTACTACAGACCTCCAAGCCAGGAGGAAGAACTTGATGAAGTCTTCTGCCAACAGTTGACCAAACAGGCACAGAGAAGAGATGTAGTAGTCATGGGCGATTTCAACTATCCCGATATTTGCTGGAAAACAAACTCGGCCAAGAGTACAAGGTCCAACAAATTCCTCACTTGCCTTGCAGACAATTTCATGGTCCAGAAGGTAGAAGAGGCAACAAGGGGATTGGCTACTCTTGATCTCATCCTAACAAATGCGGAGGACCTGATCGATGTGGTTGAAGTGGTAGGATCCTTAGGGGCAAGTGACCATGTGCTCCTGCAATTTGAGGTACAAAGAAAGGCCGAAACTAAGACAAGTCAAACCCGCATTTTGGACTTTAGGAGAGCTGATTTCCAAAAAATGAAGGAAACACTGAGCAGCATTCCGTGGATACGGATACTAAAAGACAAGGGAGTTACGGATGGATGGGAGTTTCTCAAGAGTGAAATACTCAAGGCGCAGTTGCAAACCGTGCCAACAAAAAGAAAAAATAGGGCAAGTGCAAAGAAGCCAGAATGGATGTCCAAAGAACTTCTAACTGTGCTGAGACACAAAAGAGACATGCACAAGAAGTGGAAAAAGGGAGAAATCACCAAAGAAGAATTCAAACAAATAGCCAACACCTGTAGGGAAAAGGTCCGCAAGGTTAAAGCACAAAACGAGCTCAGGCTTGCCAGGGACATTAAAAACAATAAAAAGGGATTCTTTTCTTATGTCAGTAGAAAAAGGAAAAACAAGGAGGCGATAGGGCCTCTTCGAGGAGAAGATGGGGCAATGCTGACAGGGGATAGGGAAAAGGCAGAACTACTAAATACCTTCTTTGCCTCGGTCTTCTCACAAAAAGAAAGTCATCTTCAACCTCAGCAAGACGGAGTGGATGAGGGATTTGAGGACATCCAACTCCAAATTGGGAAACAAGTCGTACAGGAATACCTGGCCGCTCTAAATGAGTTCAAGTCCCCAGGGCCAGATCAACTACACCCAAGAGTATTGAAGGAACTAGCGGAAGTCATTTCGGAACCATTGGCAACCATCTTTGAGAGTTCTTGGAGAACAGGAGAAGTTCCAGCAGATTGGAGGAGGGCCAATGTGGTCCCAATCTTCAAGAAGGGAAAAAAGGATGACCCAAACAACTACCGTCCAGTCAGCCTCACGTCAATACCAGGCAAGATTCTGGAAAAGATTGTTAAGGAAGTGGTCTGCAAACACTTAGAAACAAATGCGGTCATTGCTAATAGTCAACATGGATTTATCAAAAACAAGTCATGCCAGACTAATCTGATCTCTTTTTTCGATAGAGTTACAAGCTGGGTAGATGCGGGGAATGCAGTGGATGTAGTGGACCTAGATTTCAGTAAGGCCTTCGACAAGGTCCCCCATGACCTTCTGGCAAGGAAACTAGTCCAATGTGGGCTAGGCAAAACTACGGTGAGGTGGATCTGTAATTGGCTAAATGGACAAACCCAGAGGGTGCTCACCAATGCTTCCTCTTCATCCTGGAAAGAAGTGACAAGCGGAGTGCCGCAGGGTTCCGTCCTGGGCCCGGTCCTGTTCAACATCTTTATTAATGACTTAGATGAAGGGCTAGAAGGCATGATCATCAAGTTTGCAGACGACACCAATTGGGAGGGATAGCCAATACTCCAGAGGACAGGAGCAGGATTCAAAACGATCTTGACAGATTAGAGAGATGGGCAAAAACTAACAAAATGAAGTTCAACAGTGACAAATGCAAGATACTCCACTTTGGCAGGAAAAACGAAATGCAAAGATACAGAATGGGGGAGGCCTGGCTCGAGAGCAGTACGTGTGACAAATCACAACCTTGGACAACAAGTTAAACATGAGCCAACAATGTGATGTGGCGGCAAAAAAAGCCAATGGGATTTTGGCCTGCATCAATAGGAGCATAGTGTCTAGATCTAAGGAAGCATGCTACCCCTCTATTCTGCTTTGGTTAGACCACACCTGGAATATTGTGGCCAATTCTGGGCACTCACAATTCAAGAGAGATATTAACAAGCTGGAATGTGTCCGGAGGAGAGCGACTAAAATGATAAAGGGTCTGGAGAACAAGCCCTATGAGGAGCGGCTTAAGGAGCTGGACATGTTTAGCCTGAAGAAGAGAAGGCTGGGAGGAGATATGATAGGCATGTATAAATATGTGAGAGGAAGCCACAGGGAGGAGGGAGCAAGCTTGTTTTCTGCTTCCTTGGAGACTAGGACACAATGGAGCCATGGCTTCAAACTACAAGAGAGGATATTCCATCTGAACATGAGGAAGAACTTCCTGACTGTGAGAGCCGTTCAGCAGTGGAACTCTCTGCCCCGGAGTGTGGTGGAGGCTCCTTCTTTGGAAGCTTTTAAACAGAGGCTGGATGGCCATCTGTCAGGGGTGATTTGAATGCAATATTCCTGCTTCTTGGCAGGGGGTTGGACTGGATGGCCCATGAGGTCTCTTCCAACTCTTTGATTCTATGATTCTATGATTCTATGATTTCACTGCAGAGACTATCATTCATAATGGTGTTAAGGAGGCTACAAAGACCATATACTAAATTCATTATTGTATGTTCTACTGTTGTACAATGGCAGCTCTGTAACTCCACTTTTTAAGCCAGTCCTACCAGCTAGTAATTTCAGGAAGAGACGTGTTTGGGTGCACAATGTCACATACTGTATTTGCTTACAATCTACAAACCTCTCCAATTGCAAACAATGCTACTTCATAGCATATATATATAGTGGTGTAGGTAAATAGTAAGGGAATATGAAGTAGCATTATTTGCAATTGGAGAGGTTTGTAGATTGTAAGCAAATACAGTATGTGACATTGTGCAGTACCATTGCTGACACAATCACAGCTGTGGATGGAGAGCCAGTGATGTCAAGGAGTCTCATGTATATGTTATCCCTATCAGTATTTTTATATTTGTCTCAGTTTTGTAAGATCAGTTTGAAATTTGGCACAGTTGTAGATCTGATTGAGTAAGTCGTGGAAATCAAGTTTCAAATAACTTGCTCTAAGAGGTCTCATTTTTATAAACAGTACAACTTTGACGCTTGAAATGACAAAACCTAATTCACCTGTTGTCATTGAGGCCCATTGTTATCCCATAAAACATGAAGGTAGTATGTGAGCTGTACCTGATTTTGTGGTTCTTGGAACTCCCAGAATCACATCTACCACAAAACCAGCAGTGGACATTGAGTTGCTTCCACTTTGATGACAGCGTAAGAAGTGGAGATTGCTCATTGCTACAGAGAGGAGGGAAAGATAGAATACTTCTTATCCTGTATTAAATAATGGAATGTGTTGCTCTGTTAGGGCAAGAAGTACTATTGCATCCAATATTTCTATCGAGTATTTCTGTCTTCCCTAATGCTAATATTTAAATAGACAATAAAATGTGGGATAAGAGCTTGTCTTTTTCTTTGTGTTTACCAAGTTGTGCACTTCTAATGCTTCACTTGATAATTACTTTTATTTGTACATTATGAATATTTTCACCAAATTATGAATAGTATAGTCTGTAGGTACTCTAATGTAGAAGTAAGCAAAGTGTGGTCCTCCCACAAGCATTTTGTGGCTCTCAAGGCCCTCAGCTGTCCAAATTTTACAAATTTTGTAAACATTTTCTATTTAAGGGGGAAAATGTGTAGTGGTCCCTGAAAAAATAGAAAGCATTAATGAAAAGGAAGGTTTTTCAGTATCTCTTCTCACATTAGAACATTAGATATTTTACAATATCCTTTTTATGTGCATAGTATATACAGTTTCAAAAATATATTTTAATACTCATATGTTATCAATAAAGGATATGTTGTGCTGTAATAATTGGATATTGTTTTCTGTCAAGGTTTTCTCATATACAGCCAACAAAGAAATTCGAACAGATGATTTGTGCTTAGATGTCTCTAAGCTCAATGGTCCTGTCACAATGCTTAAGTGCCACCACTTAAAAGGCAATCAGCTTTGGGAATATGATCCCGTGGTAAGTCTGTTCATGACCAGAATCCAAAAAGTTAAAAAGTTCTGTGAACATATCTATGTTTTGATATGGGTATGTGAATTGGGTAGTTGCTGGTTAGAACTGGGAGACAGAATAATTGCAATCTTATATAACATCAAGAGTCACGTTTTGTACTGTGTTCAAATTAAATATTGTATGTCAATGTTGAAAAAGAACTGGTACTAAGAACAGATTCTTAAACTGTGGGTCCCAACCCTGAATGGGCTTCCTATAACTCAATACTGGGGTCGCAAAATACTTCCTCCCCCCGCAGAGTAGAAGCTGCGGCCTTCTATCAATATTTTTTAAAGTTTTTTAATTGTATAATACATAGAAACATACCATCTTTGAAATTAACATTCAAAATACCAGTATTTTCCTCAATCCCACCACCAGCACACACACACACACACACACCCCCCGCCCAGGAACAATTAAGTACATTTGCTGTTTATTATAATTGTTCAATCAATATCATCACATTCACGTTTTAAAGAGGAGGTTTGCACTCATTTTCAATCTTGTGGCTGCCTCTTGCAGACTTCTTGGGTTGTAGTTTAGGGAGGAGCCTTTAAACTGCTCAGTCAAGAGAGGTCCAGGCCCCTTCCCTCAACTACAAACACAGAATTCTACACAGGATTGGAGATGAGCCCAAACACTTTGCCTGCTCTTTAAAATGCTAATGTGATGAGGTCAAAGCGAGAGAGAAGGAGCACAGATTAATCTGTTAAGGTAAGGAAAATGGGCCCAAGCAGGCACTGGCAGCCTGGAAGAGACGAGGGTGCAAGAAAGCAGCAAGGAAACAGAAGAGAAAGAATGAGGATGAGCAAAGAAGGTATGTAAGCACAAAGAAGGAAGAGGAGAAGGAACCCTGCCAGCCAATGCAGGCATCTCCTGCCCTTCCTTCTCCTCAACTGTACCCCCTTGCTTCAAGGAAATCTGATATATTTTTTTGTTTGTTTGCACCTTAATCTTCCTACTAAGTTTGGCTTGAAATAGAATGAACCCTTTGTATCCACGGATTCAGCCATCCACGGCTTGAATATCTATTATCTATATCTCTCAAACTTTGACTTTGCCATTTTATATAAGGGATGACATTTTACTGCACCCTTGTATATCATGGGATTGGAGCATTTATGTGTTTTGGTATCCACTGCGTGTCCTGGGAACCAAACCCCAGCAGATACTGAGGGCCACTGGACATTGTTTAAGAGGTTTGATTTTTATGTACTTGGAATTCATAGTTACCCTATTTGTTACTGCTGTGGTACAGTTGGTCCTGGATATCCACGGATTTAACCATCCAATACTCAAAAAAGGTTTGATTTGTTTACCTTTTTAATATACTTATATTCAAATTCAAAATATTTATTTCGGTCATTGACCAGCACATATATATTTGAGGTCACAGAAATGTTTCTTGGGCAAAAAGGGATTGCAAGTTGAAAAGTTTAAGAAACCCTGTATTAGGAGACACTTTTTTTCATATTTCATAACCTGTAAAGGACTTGGGTATGAATGAATTAGAATTGAATCCTGTCAAATGAAAGAAAGTCAAATGAAAGATTTTCCACATAACTCCTATCCCAGGGAAGGAGAGAAGTAATATATACATTAATTGTGTACCTGTGTTTTGTATTTTGTACTTGTCTGTAATCCAAGTACAGAATAGTATTAATTGTTCTTGAGATAAATTCTCTAGATGAGTTCAAGACATCCAGACTACATGACACAAGTGTAGAAGAGAGTAGTTTATCTAAAATAAGTGCTGTGGAAGTGGGATACTTCTCTAAGGATGTTTACCATATTTTCCGGCATACAAGGCGACTTTTGAACCCAGGAAAATAATCTCCAAAATGGAGAGTGGTCTTGTACACCGGGTATCACGGGGTCCATTTGGTCTCTGCTTCAGGTGCCCTGCTCCAGCGGGTGCTTTGCTTGGTTGTGGGAGGAGTGCGTATGTGTTTGCGGGGCGTAGTCTCTCCCCTCCTCCTCCTCCTCCTCTCCCCACTTGAGATGCCATTTAACAGGCGCCCTGCTTTGCTTTCCTTTCCCTCTGTCGGCAGCAAGAAGAGTGCATGGAGCTGCCTGCTGCGCCTTTGCGGGCCTTGAGGCAGGCAGGCATGGAGCCCCAGCAGCTCCCGCGATAGGCAGACCTTGGCAGCAGTCGCAATGCAGTTCTGTGAAGGCGGCAGGCAACAGCCAGGGCTTTGGGAAGAGGCACAGTGGCATGGCAAAAGCGGTGGTTGAGGAGGCAGCAAAGGCGACTGAGGAAGTAGCAGAAAGGCTTCGGGTTCGGTGGCAAAGGAGCTGTGTTGAAGGAGACGAGAGAGGAGGCTGCTCCGGGCACGAGGAGAAGGAAAAGGCGTGGCTTTCCGCTTCTCCTCCTCCTCCTTTTTATTTGGTGTGCTTTGGAAGAGGGGTGGTCTTATACGGCAAACATATCCCAAAACCTGTATTTCAACTGTAAAAGTCGAGGGGCCGTCTTATACGCCCAGTTGTCTTATACACCGAAAAATATGGTAATACCATTTAAATTTAACAAAACTATGAGGACCAGTGCTATAAAATGTTGGGAACCTGAATGATGTGGTATTCTGCCTTCACCTTTTAGTGAAGTCATTTCAACACATTTTATAAAAGTAACTTCACATATTACAGTCACACTACAAAGTCATGTTACAAGTCTAATGTAACTTGGATATACTTTTGTTATTTTTAAATGTTTTTATTATTCTTATAAAACAATTATATATAACCATCATTATCATGCATTTTGTCCTTTTTCATTCCCTTCTCCCTCCTCACTCCCACCCCTCCCTCTTCCCCATTGACAATGTAATCCTTTTTTTCCCCTGTTACATGAGCCTTCTTTCGATTCTATCCAATTTTTTCTTCCACCTTTCATCATCTGGTGTAACGACCTGTAACCATCTTTTAAATGGAGTCCAAATTTCTTTAATATTCTTCTGTTTGTCTGACCATGTCTTTTTGCTTCTTATGATGTCCATAAGAAGCAGTTGTATTTGGTCCCACACATATTCATACCATTTTTGAAGTGTCTATTTCTTTTTTTCTTTCCAAGCTATAACCTCACAACCTCTGAGGGTGCTTACCATAGATGCAGGCAAAACGTTAGGAGAGAATGTTTCTAGAACATGGCCATATAGCCCAAAAAACATACAACAACCCATTCATTTGTTGTAACCAGTTATTTCCATTCTTTGGAAATTCTGAACAGCGAAGTACAATTTTAGTGTATATGTAATTTCTACATAGGAGATAAGTGGCATATATACTTCAGTTTATTTTCCTAACAAATTTTGTTTTCTAACAGTACTTGACTAAGCATTTTAAGCACTGGATAGGTTTATTTTGTTCTTTTTTGTAGGGAAAATCTGTTCTCCCCCTAGCATACTTTACTAATTCAACATATTTACATTTGTGTGGCCCCTGGAGATAAAAGAGTCCACACACTTACTCTGCCCTGAGTCAAGATAGGGCAGGTTACAAAAAAAAGTCTTCTTTTTCTTGGATGCATACAGTAGGCCCTTGGTGTCCACATTGGTTTGGTTCCAGGAACCTCACCTGGACACCAAAATCCATGGATGTTCAAGTCCCATTATATGCAATAGTGTTTCTTATATAAAATTGTAACATCAAGATTACCATTTTGTATAATGGTAAAATCAAACTATGTAATATGCCTATTTCATTACTGTTATAGTTGGCAGTGTTAGAGTCATTAAGTAGAAATTTTGATTTTGGGGAATAAATAATGGGTGGAGAGGTATATTTTCGTGAATGGTTGAATCTTTGGATGCAGAATCCGTGAATACTAAGGGCTGACTAAGCAATCCCTATATTTCAGTGGACTGTAAATCTAAGTTTCAAATTGTTTATCTCTACAGCCTGAGATAGGAGTATGTATGTAATGTATATTTCTGTGGCTCCAGCACTCATAAAGAGGATTGCTATATGATCCTCTTTAAAAGTAATGTGGACCACCTGGATGGTACAAAACCGAACTATCTTAACCAAACTGTGCTTCCAAAATAATTTACAAACTAATGTGGCTGATGTCTTTCTTTTTAACTTTGATGTTGCCAGCCATTCAGGGATGTTGAACTTATTGTCATTGAGGACCACATCAGCCTTATGGTTGCCTTCAAAGGGCTGCTGAATGAATGGACAGAGGACCAAGTACATTTTTTAACATAGTGGTTGATGCTCTTTAACTTTTGCCCAGTTTGGGTCCTCGGGTGTTATTAAATGTCAACTCCCATCACTATTGTGAACTGCCATGTGAACTGGGGATAGAGTTGTAGCTCTGAGGCTGGGGAAGGGTTAAAGGCCCCTTGGCTATGGAACGCCCTCCCTAGGGATATCAGATTGGCCCCCTCCCTTTTAACATTCCGTAAAAAAAGTCAAAACTTGGCTTTTTGAGCAAGCGTTCACAAATGCAGTGTAACAGGCAAATATAGAACAACAGAATTATTAGATGATGTGATTGGACATTGATTTTAATAAGGAGATGCTATTGATATATGTTTTATATGTTTTATTGGCTTTATATGGTTTTTTATATTATATGGTAAATATTTTAAATTGTATTTTATGGTATCCGGGCATCAAATTGTTGCCATCTGTAAACCACCATGAGTCACCTTCGGGCTGAGAAGGGCGATATACAAATATGGTAAATAAATAAATAAATAAATAAATGGCATTATATCTACATTCAAGCTTGCATCTAAATTCAAACCCCACTCTCCTAACTAAACAGAACAAACAGTGGCCTTCCAGATGTACCACAACACCCATCAGCTTTATTCATGATATCTAACAATGAGGAACACAGGAATTGTAATCCATCATCTGGGGGGTTACATAAAATGACATGAAGGGCTGACCGCTGGCCTTGAGTTTGACACATGTGATACATGTGCTTTCTTTCTATCAGAAATAAAGGTCAGTCCATTTCTTAGGTTAGTACACAAAGATGTGTACTGACTAATAGTCAAAGACAGTGCTGTATTTGAAATAAATTTGCTGACTTTCAGTGCACTTTGATCAACTCTTCCATTTCCTTAAAATGTTTATTCCTTTCTCTCCTTCCTTCTTATCCCCTTCCCCGCTGTAACACAGAAATTGACCCTGTTGCATGTGAACAGCAACCAGTGCCTGGATAAAGCCACTGAAGAAGACAGCCAGGTACCCAGCATCAAAGACTGCAATGGCAACCGTTCTCAGCAGTGGCTTCTTCGCAATGTCACCCTTCCAGAAATATTCTGAAAAATTTCTAAGAGGAGAATTGACTGGACTACCTCAGCAAGTACATCTGCTACATTCCTATGTAGCTCAAGAAAATGCTGCAAGGTTTCATAGGGTTTTTTTTTAATCCTGTGGAGCAGAATCTTCTTAATTTTCAAGAGCTGACAGCTACCATCCTGGTGTTAATGTTTGTGGAACTAACTATATGAGTACTTGTGAACCTGTACACAACTGCTGTTTACAAGATATTTCTTCAAAGAATCACTTTATAGAACACTTAATCGGTGAAAAGATAATCAAGGATAAACACTCCCAAAAGAGTGGCACAATCTAGTTTGCTTTTACATCGGTAGCCTGGTTCCAAGGGTGCTGTCATAAAGATTCTCAAGATTTTTTTTTGGTAAGATTCAGTGGTAAGAATGGTAGAATTTGCAAATACGATATGGACCAGATTCAGTATCAGAAGAGAACAAATCAGTGAAGCAAGAAATGTGAAAAACATGGTTGAGACGCAAGAGACCAGAACTATAAGAAGTACAATGTGTACAATATCAAATTTATATGTAGATTTTTTTTACCTCTGAAAAATCTCCAAGTGGAAGAACAACATTCTGTTCAGTTGTGTGTTAGTCATTAATATATTTTTCCTCCCTTAATTGTTCTGAATTTTGAGAGGGCAAAACCAAAACTGAACATAGAAAATTGGATCTTTGAATGTGAGTTCATTAAAAAAAACTATTTTGGCTTGTAGGCTGATGAAACTGTTACAACATTTTAAATTACCTGACAACGAGGTTTCTGTATCCTTTGTGTTTTGCTACTTCAGTTGAATTTGAGTCAGCCAGCTTTTGACTGTCCATCACCTCTCTTAAAAATTTGTTAGTGCATCTTCAATTTGTTAACTTCACTGATTATGCTTAATGTCCAGGTGTCTTACTACTGTACTACCAATTTTGTTTCAGAGCAATAAATCTTTCATTCTTTGATTTCATTCATCAGAACCTGCAGATATGGCTTATTCAGATATCAAGTCGTTTTCATCTGAATGTTTCTTAAAACCATTTTTCATTCCATACTTGAAATTCATGTTTGGATTTTTGAATTGTAATGTTGAGCTCTTTTTTTCTAATAAAAGCTAAGGAAAATAGTTAGTGGCCTCTTCAAAAATGAAGTTAATATAGCCAAAGGCCTTATCAAAAATGAAGTTAATATAGCCAAAGGCCATGCTAGTCTAGCACTTTGAATTGAACAACTTGATTGAGAAGAAAAACTTAGTTTCTAACCTATGAAATGAGCTGCTATTTTTCCAAAAGAAAGGACTTGATTAGTAAACAAAATAATTTTTATATAAATCAGTATAATCACTTTTGTATGCAACAGATTAATATATGTCTAGAGGAGGAAATACGCAGTTCTGACTCATTCCAGTTGGCTTATATTTAATCGGATGTTGTCCTATAGGCCCAGTTATGACTGTTCTACAACTATGTTTTTCTGCATAAAATGGTGAACCTGTGTCACCAAGGTGACATTGTTATTATTACAGTCATATGAGCAGTTTGCTGCATTCAGCTTCATTGCTGAGAATTGTATATTATTTTGAATTGTATGTGTTGATAATGATCTCCTTAGTTAAATGATAGCTCCTTTGAACTGTGCTTTAGTAACATTCAAAAGGATGGGAGCCTTATTATTGATACAGTTTTTCTTTTTTGATGTTTGCCTTGAGTCTGGCTCATGTCTTCTGTGTGCCTTTCAGATGTGAACATTAAATTTGGTACACCGTACAAACCAGGAAGGGGGGAATCAAACCAGGAAGGGGGGAATGATTGTAGCAGTAATTATTAAATGTGTACTAAAATTATTGTGTAACTTTTTTTTAAAGCAAGCAAGGCAGTGATATAAGAAGGAGTAAACAATGGGATAGTTATATCTGATTTGTTGTATTTATATCCCTCTACTTTTAACAAAAATGTAAATTATATTACTTTGGAAGACTGAGGTTTGCCAAAAGCTTCAGTGATTTTCCCAGCCAGTTCTATAACATGTAATCATACATTACATCTAGCGCCAAGCATAGTTACTTGATATCCCATTCCTTTATGTTGTTGACAAATGCAACTACATTCATAATCTTTATCTTTATAATTACAGTTCTATGTTGCTAAAGCAACCAATCCGATTGTGATTGCTGGCTAGATAGTAAAATTAAAAAAAGTTAAACTGAGTAATCTCAGAACAAATCAAACCTTTTTTTTTCTATTTGCACTATTGCGTGGCAAAAACTTAGGTAAAGTGCCCAAATTATCATTACATTTCCTTCCCAGGTTTTGAAATCTAAACTTTAAAAAAAGTTTATAAAAATTACTATGAATATAGCTTAATTTTCTTCTAATATATATTTTAAAATATATATTAGAAAAAAGTGTCTGAAAAGTGTTATCAATCATAATAGCCTAAATCCAGTTGCTACAGGAGACCTTTTGAATAAATAGGATTTACATATACATTGAATTGCTATTGAGCAAGTGATTGAGTGGATAACCAGTGCAGCTGGTGTAAAATAGGTTCTAGATTACATATTTTCATCTCTTGGATTCAATTATATCCAAGTCACTGCGTTTTGAACCATTTGGACCCTCCAAAATGTTTTCAAAAGTCACTCATTGTAAACCTAGCCATAACTAGAACATCAGTGGGGATAGGTTCGATCAATGTAATTAGAGATGTACCTCTTAAAGGTAAAGGTTTCCCTTCACATTAAGTCTAGTCATGTCAGACTGGGGGACAGTGCTCATCTCCATTTCTAAGCCGAAGAGCCAGCGTTGTCCGTAGACACCTCCAAGGTCATGTGGCTGGCATGACTGCATGAAGCACCGTTACCTCCCCGCCAGAACAGTACCTATTGATCTACACACATTTGCATGTTTTTGAACACCTAGGTTGATGGGACCTCACCCCCTCCCCAGATTTGAACCTTTCAGTTAGCAAGTTCAGCAGGTAAGCAGTTTAACCCACTGCGGCACCAGGGGGCTCTACCAATATAAGGTGCTAAAAGGAATTTTGGGCCACCAGCCACTAGTGCAGAGGGATACCAACAAGTTCAGAAGAATTTTCAAGTTGCAGACTTGGTCCTTTATATGTTTGTAGTAGAACCCCTTCTAGCATTGGTCACACAATTCACAGTGCCCAGTTTTGTAGTCTATGATATTTGTTTGTTTAGGTTTCAGTTTGTCCATCCTCAAACATGTTCAACTACTTGTTCAGGAATGCCAGAGTATCCTTTTAGTTTATAAATTAGGAATTTTGTCCCGGGAGGCCATCAAAGGTATTTTCTCACCCGCACATGGGTGCTCAGTCTTTTGTATGAAAAACAGAAACTGATAGATAGGAAAGTAAGATAGAGGCAATGTTCCAATTTTTGAGCTTCTTTTTCACAAATAAACTCCGAAGATATTACACACACAGAGATATGAAATATAGCAAATTTAAAAATAATGAACAAAGAATAGAGAATTCCCAAATAAAGAAACATCTCTCCACAAATTATAGGGGCCATCAGTTGGCTGCAATTTTTAAAGCAGCTCAGACAATCCTATCAAAATGCCTAATCAGAACAGAAGTGTTTTAGGATGGTAATCTGATGGATTGCTTGGTTGAAATAGTGCTATGTTGCCTCCTTGTCACATGGAAGGCGATAACTCTAGAAGGGAAGTATCTCCAAAAAAGAAACTTGTGCATATGGAAGGAAATAACTTTGCTTTCCTTGCAGCCACTTCCAGCTCTAAAATTCTGTGATTCTTTCATACTCCTCAGAATGTTTTGATGGGATCTGAAATGAACTAGGAAATAGAAAAGATGTGGAGGGGTGGGGAAGAAAATTGGCTTCCAAGCAAGGAAGAAGTGTTGTGTTGCCAAGGTGGAAAAGGGAGATATTGGCTCAGACTATTGACGGAAAAGGAGGGGGGAGGAGGTCAAGCTGCCATTGAAGCCACCATCCAGGCCCTTTGCACATTCCTTCCCCCTTTCTCCTCCCCTCCCCACCCCGCGCCTGACTCTTTCTCTCTGAAACCCTTTTGCTGCAGCCCCACCACCTCACCTTCCTCCAGAGGCATCTCAGACCAGTCCCGTGCCTGCAGGTGAAGTGGCTTTGGTTGCAAGGTCTCCCAGGTCTAAGGCCTTTCTAGAGCTGAGTTTCAGCAAGGGCTAGTTAATCAGCAGCTACAAACTCACAAATAAGCAAAGGCATGGAATGCAGACCCACAAATGTTGGGTAAATGTAAGCAGCAGCACAGAGTAATCCCAGATATATATTTGCCTTCGGTTATGTGAAATTGTCATGCCAATTTTTCCATCACCTCAAGTCCTCTGAATCTCAACAAATTGCTGTGACCTATGAAGATGCATAGGGGAGTGATTGTATGGATAGCTTGCTTTCCATTCCCTTCCAGAGAGACACCAGGGACATCAGCAGGAAGACTACAGTAAAATTCTCTTTTTTATTTATCACTTATGTCAGACATTTATATTCCATCCTTCTCACCCCTGGAGGGGGACTCAGAGCGGCTTACAACCGGCAACCATTAGATGCCAACAACAATAATAACACAGTTCAACATTAAAACATCATAAGTTAAAAAGACAATTTAAAAAAGACAAGTTCAAGTCCAGAGTCATAATTCAAAATCCATCCAATGTCAACCACATGATTCCTTTATAAATTGTTACTGCTGCGACTGCTGCTCGAAAGCTTGGTCCCTTGGTTCATCTACATTGATTCTGTTGATATACAGTTGTTATTTTGATTTTAATAATTTTATTGTTTACTGATCCCAGTGATGTTGTTGGCCATATTGGACCGTAGCCAGGATTTTTATGGGGGGGGGGGCTGAGTCTGAGTGAAAGAGGGTCTACCCTAGCAAACCTTTTGTATCGTTACCCCAATACCCCCATGCATATGAGTTATATTGAGCATGGTGATCAGATCATGATATGAATAAACATAACAGTTTCAATAATGTAACAGTAAGGCCTTTTTGCAGACCACCATGAGAATTTCGGGGGAGGGGGGCTGAAGCCCCCAAAGCCCCCCCCCCCCGGCTACATGCTTGGTGGCAGCCCTTCCCGATCAATCAATCAATTTCCTAATGTTTAGACCAATGGTCATATTTCCTTTAGTGGAAAGATATAATAAAAGTAATTCTCTCCTTTCCTCCCTATGTGCAACAAATAGCATGGCAGTCTAGCACAGGAATGGATAATCTGTATGGAGCAAGTATTAGATTGCTACCCAGCAACCCCAAGTGCATTGGGACCCTACTCTCATACAGTAATCACCCGTGATGTCCATAACATTCTGTATTTCATTTCCACGGATTCTCATCATAGCTCCTTTTTTTCAGTTTATTTATGTGCATCAGGATTTCTCAGCTGTTTCCTCTGATTCATGCTGAGGAAGGATGGTGTTTTCATTTCCATTGTGGCATGCTTGGCAGAGATGCTTTAGTCTTTCCACTCCGTATGCCATGAAGAAGGCAAAAAATTCTAGTTTTCATCCTGAGTGCTGAGGAAGGAATCTTTGCTGATCAGAGATAATAACCTTTTTCTGCAGAGGGAGAGCTCTGGAAAATGAAGGGGAAGAATTCAAGTGTCTAGACAAGGACCCCTTCCCCACAGTGAGAGTTTTCCTTTACTATGACTGGCTTGATCAGCTAATGATCTGATCACAGCAACCGCATAGTTTTAAGGCTCTTTCCCACATATCACGTAGTTCACTGAAGAACACAAATTTCAGCGTTTGCTTCACCCGGCGGGTCAGAAAAGGCCAAATTCTTGAAATTGTCAAGTTTGGAAGATGTCACGTTTTGTCAAAAATTTGAGCGTTTGCCTCACCCGGTGGGTCAGAAAAGGTGAAATATATGAAAATGGTCAAGTTTGGAAGACGTCAGGATTTCCCAAAAATTTGAGCGTTTGCCTCACCCGGTGGGTTGG